TAATCTTGCAAGAAAGTTTCAGGTAGAAAAATTACACAACTTCTTTATTAGGTAAATAAATCATTATTATCCAGTAATTCGTTATTCGTTCATAACCTAAAAATATCACTAAAAAAGCTTTAAAAACTCAATTTAGAAGCTTTTTGGATCATAAAAACATCTAAAAATTACTTATTCAGAGTCAAAATCATCCAGAAGGTTTTCTAATAAACATTTTTCAAGTTTAAGTGACTATTTTTGAGGTTATGTTTGATCTTAATATAATTTGCATGTAAAATGGAAAAGGAGTCCAAAGATTCGGGATAATTTGTCAGTTAAAGTATCACTCAAGGAAGGAATGAGCTGTACACCACTTCTAACCATATTATCTCCCCCTTGAGTCTTATATGAGCGAAGCTAGCACTTTGCAAAGCTTATCCATCTCCTAAAAATATCTCTTGTTGTCCGCTGGGCAGGCAATAAGAGGAGTTCCAGCGACAGCGAGCAGATAGTTGAGGAGGAATCCACCACCCCAGCGGAGAAATCCGCTGGCACATTGGCGACACATCGTTAAACAAGTTTCCACGTATTTTAATTGAAATTATTGTAAATTTGTTTGACAACGCCATTCAATTAAAAACTAATTGAAATAAGGAATTAACTGCTATTCGCTGCCAACATTGGCAAATGGGAAGAGGGAATCATTTGGCACACTACTCGTAAAATAACTCAAATGATTGTGATTCTCAGACCTAATCTTCTCCACAAAAATTTCTTTTTCCTTGTGTCTTTCCCTCGTGGAGCGCCCCTGATTGGAATTTATAGATTCGCGGCGAAAGAGTGATGATCGTCCCAGAGGTTGTTCATGCCATAAAGCCATCGCGGTGATGCTCCAATGAGGGAGACGGTGATTTTTGGGCGGATGAGGAAACGGTTTAATTATCACCTGTTATCAAATTTAAATTTCTGATTTAATTGCCATCCGCCGAACTCTTCCAAAAGTCACCGTCTTCCCAATTCGTTATATCTAGCCATCAATCTCCATGTGTCCAATAAACAGCAATTGGAAATCACGAATTAAGTCATAAATTTGCCAGAAAATTTAATAAATTTCACTGCTTTTTCTCACCTTTCCCGCCAAGACAGACTTGAGAATAATGACTCGTTAGAGCATCAATTAATTAGGTGTATTTGTTTGGCTGTCTCGTGCAGGAATTGGTGTGATAAGGACACCTGCCAACAGCGCCATGCCAAACAGCCTCGAAGCCCCAGAGCATCGATCGCTAATCCCTCCGGACAGTGAAGATGATGAGTGTGAGGTGAGTGCAAAAAGTGGATGTTCGTTGAGGAGGTATTTTGTAAAACAAATTTAATTACATAAATTAAAGAAAATGTATAAAATTAACAATTTTAATTTATGTTCGATTTGTCGTAGAGGCAATTTTTATCAACATGAAGCTCATGCAGCTTTAACTCTGTTGGATGGAAGTGCACCTACACTGCCGCCATCAATTATCAATCCACACGCCGTTGAGCTGCTGCTGCGCAATATCGGCGATACGATCAGTCGAAATACCTATAACTATCCTGTAATTTCGCTGGCTGTGCAATTGTGCTGAGCAGTGTTTTCCAAGTAGGAACAAGAAGCCACAATGAGGTGGAGAGAAAGATCGCGTAAAAAAGCTGCATATATCAAGAGTGTTTCTTGCATCTTGCTGAAATATTCACTCCCCTGTCTGCCCCTTGCTATTTTCATGCGATCGCGTCTCGATCATCGGGCGATATGGCGGTTGGCGGTGAATTTCAAATAGAGGATCACCATCGCGCCGATGGCTGGTGCGCACATGATCACCGGAAAGAGCTGGATCTCGTGCTCTTTTTCTGCACTTTTCGTATGATGTCCATATCATACTGGGACAGATCGTCGCTATTGTCTCCCCTGTCACGCGGAACAGTGAGTTCGTAAACTCTCTGAATTCAATTGGCTCTCCTCAGTTGCCTTCTTTGTGTCTCGTCCCAGCCTGTGGCGAGATGGTCTGCACGGGACGTAACAAATGGCGAGCAATTAATTAAAAATCATTTATTCAAAGCTCTCGTTCGCGTTACAAGTGCATCTTGCTTCTTTTTCTTCTCGCGCCTCGTCATCAGCGATCGCCTGCGATGCCGATCTCCTCGCCAGACAGTTGGATAGATCGAGTGAGATTGCGAAAAAGCCATCTGATTCTTGCCCGTGATAAAATTGTGAGAAAGCGTCAATCAATAAATTAATAATCATCTGTGTCACAATGTATCTCCGCGATAGTCATAAATTTACACACGCACACATTTTCGAAAATGTCTCAACGAAGTGATCTCAAGAGTTAAACATTCTTGTTGATTTGGACACGTGCTGAGATGACGCTATTGTTGATATCAATTGCCTTTCTCTGGCCTCAGCAATGCACTCCATTTCCTCAAGGTGGGCCAGCCGAAGACGGTGAGACGCGCGATATGGAGGTGAATTGAAATCACTGAAGGCGGCAAATCACCTGCGACCACACGGTCGATCACACACGAATTTTCTTCAAGTGTGGCAGATGGAAAGTCCATTTAATAGCATTGATGCATCACCTGTCTAACAAATTAGGCATCTCACCCAAAAGCTACCACGGGAATGATTGAGGCATTAAAGTGAATCGAAAATCATCAACCTACACACTCACTCGCGTCATCCACCCAACCATTTCTCCCTAAATTGGGAAGAGATCCGAAGGCATGACTGAGCATAAATACTGGTATGACCATTAAAATTGTCCCATTTCATTTTGTCCCCCAGAACATTTCAATCACCTCAAATCAAGCCTCAAATGCTCAAGTTTCAGGCCTCCTCACGTTGACGACCAGCGGAGAAAAAGAATTCTCCTAATCTCATGAAACGCACAACAATCAATTCATGTATCAAATGAGAAACACTGATCGCGATTTGTTGTGATTGCAGCCACTCCTCGAATTGCGGCGCAGATCACTGGGAGATTTGTGTCCGGGTTTCGGCTGATAAAAACTGAGCTTTTGTTAAATTGTCAAATTAGGCGGCTTAACTGGTCTTTGAACTGGAGATCAGAAAACGCAGATAATCATGGAATGCACAATTTATCTAAGCAAAAAATTACAGTAGTCAAGCTTGGAGTGTCAAAAGTCTTGCCAATTTGAACTTGACTCTGCTTCAGTTGGAACAAGGGGAGGTAATGTGGCTAAAATATGTACAACACTTCTTAAATACTTTTAAGAGACAATCGACCAAAAATTTTAGTGAAATATTTATTATAAAACTCATTTATCAACCTTAATAAGGACATTTTGAATGTTTTCAATCGATATTTATTGTAAAAACTCTTTAATTCACTTCCTTGCACATTTTTCCGATTATAACCTAAAAATATCTTAAAAATCGTGCAAAATCATTTAAAAGATACGAATTATATATTTTCAACTGTCGCAATTCTCTGATTTTAATCAATTTTGATTCAAAACTTGGTGAAAAAACTTTAAAAATGAGACATAATTAAAATCTGAGTTATATATTTGTGGTTATGTTTTACTTTCGTAGAATTTGAAACATTTTTTTTACCTAAAAATCCAGAATCGCGATCTTTATTATATGAAAATGCCTTGGAAAATGCTTAATTTTGCCAATTTTATTTTAACTTAATCTTGCTTTAATTATTTACCTAACCTAGAAAATTGGTTCAGAAACGGCTTTGTAAACTCAAATATTGCAAATATTGAAACACTCCCACTTCTTAAGTACTTCGGCTGATCTGTACATCACTTCTGACCATAATATCTCCCCCTTGAGTTGGAATATCAGTAGATTTTGCTCTTCACAATACATGCATTGTATAAATTATGGCTTCTTAATTGATTCCAATGGCGAGGATCATCTCCCCACGCAACTCTTAATACAACTATTGACAAATAACAGCGAAATTCGACACCCACCCACAACACTTCCATCCTCCTAATCAAATAGAGTGGCAAATGAGAGCTACTATTAGAGGTGAGCACAAGCACGGATCAAATAACGTGCCAATCGGCTTAATTACTTGTTTGTCTCTTTGGAGAGATCATCACTCATTACGGCAAATCGCCGCAGCGATTGAGTGTGCAAAAGAGATGAGGCAGAGAGATGTTGATTATCTCATTAAATGTCTTCGCTTTTGGACCCATAATATTCTTTACGAGAGCTTTACCTAATAAAATTTGAATCACGCCGAGCCAAAGTGTGCGAGAGGGAGAGAGATGGAGCGGAATGCCTGAGGAGATGTCGATCTACTTTGATGGCTCTCTGAGCTGCCCATCAGTTTAGGTGGGTGGCCTCCGAGCGCAGCACTCCAAAGGCTCACCGCCTCGATGGCGAATGGCTCTACAGATAATATGATTATAATTGGGCAGAAAGCTTCAAAGCAGATCACATACTTGAGTGGAAATTTGAATATGTAAATCATGCGAAGAGAAAGAATGGGAAGAAAGTGTTTCAAGAATGAAGTCATTCGACAACCATCCGGAAAAACTCCCACGGCTTCTTGTCTTCTCTCAATCGATCTCGCTGGGGGCGAAGGCGTGAGATTTGGCCTCGCTGGGCAAACAAATGTTACCTTTAGTTGTATTGACTCCTTATCGCCGAAGAAAGGGTTTATCTGATAGCGCAGCAGGGCTCAATAACGGCTCTGTTGGTGGCGCAAGAAGCTCTCGGGAATGGAAGAAATCCCACGGGAAAACATGAATTGCGTCACGTATAAAAGTTTAGATACACAGTGATAATGTTCAGGATTATGCAGATTTATCGTGCGTGGGAAAATATTGATAAGAACTTTATAATTATGACGATTGTCAGATATTTCGCCGGAAAGGCTGCAAAATTATATTGAGAAAGCGAAAAGCTTTCTGAATCAAATCAAAATGAAAACTTTCGGAACAATATTTCGTCTCTTAACCCAACCTCTTAATATCCAAACATGGGAGAATTTGAAGTCAAACAACGATTCTTTCATTTCCTCGCTTTATTAAATGTATATAAGGTTTTTATTGTCTTTAAAAAATAACAAAATATTGATTCAAGTCTATCACTACAAAACCAATAGTTTCCTAAACACTAAACAAGTTACATAGATTATGTTTATGCAAATTTTAAGTGTGTTCCGTTATGATTCGAATACATTTCATTTTTTTCTTTTGTATGGTGAGAAGGCACAGAACAAAATAATTCTATTTTTTTATATTTGTGAAATTCTCTATTTCAGATGACATTTCCTTGCACAACTACATCTGTCAATTGTACACTTTTATTTACTGGATTAAATATTTTAATCACTATTATATTATCACACTTCTCGTCAGTGTTTCTCTGGCGTATTTTAACAAATCAAAAAAATTGCTTAAAGTCCTCTTTTTTCGGTTTTTTTTTCTTTTCCTTTTGCTTTTATATGAACGAAAATTTATTTTTTGATGAGTGTAGAAAATGAGGTTATTCTATTGCTGTCCAATATTTCATAATACTTGAGAAGACAAAATAAAAAGGTAAAAGAAATGGCTCTAATTCTAGCAGTTGTGCCGATCACAGAAGCAGAGAATAGAAATTTTGGTTTCTTAAAAACTAGGCTCTCCAACACAAGATTCGTCTGGTTTTCTCGTTAAATACTAACATTGTACAGGCTGTTTTTTTTGGTATCTGACGATACGTTTTGATTAGCATCAATTTCTGTCTCCAGATAAAGCTTTACATTTGAGAACTCACTTTTCAAGACACTAAAATTCAAGTTCCAAGTCCATGAGCGGTATTAGCGACCGATAATAAAGTTATTTTCCGTATGAGGAAAAAATATATTTATAGACATTTCCTATTGAGGAAAATAATTATTAAAAGCTAAAAGTAAAGCCTTATTGCGTAATTTCATTTTGTTTATAAATCATCTTATCAACTAAAATGTATGCATAAAAGTATTTTTCATTTTTTCACCACAGTTTTCACAAATTCTCCCTCGAACATGTTTCTCTCGCATAATTTTTTTTTGAATTTTCATTCTTTTCTTTTCTTTGAGTTGCCAAGATTTTTTTGCCTAATGACAAATTTACATTTGAATTTTTTTCTCGATTTCTGTCTTTCGCATCACTAAAATATGTTTTTTTTTAACGATTAATAGAGAAATCACAATTTATCGTGTTCTTTTTATTTTTCACTAGAAAGAAAATTCACTGTAAATTCGCTAACTAGAATGGACATTTAGAAATAACACTACACAAAATACAATGTTCGTCGAAAGATTATAAAAATGAGCAAGATGAATATTCTTGTCCTCCTTCGCGGGTAAAGTCAAAACAATCAACGGTGAAGATTCTGGGAAATTAGTGCTTAAATGTGTGCCTCGATGATCTCAATCACACTAACATATGTGCCAGTGAGGAAACCAATGACGCCAAACACAATCAGCAGGATATTCTTCCACAATCGCCAGTTGTACTGACCCATTCCGGACTCCCAGTACGTCACGATCTCAATTACAGACGGGAAGATCAGTCCTAGAGTACTCAAGCAGACAGCTCCGATGAGGGAAATGAAGGGGCCAAGATTGGGGATCGCAGCAGCAATGCCAACTGTGAGGATCTGCAAGACGAGATTGAGGTTATAGTTGCTGAAAATTGAGTTGAAATTCAAGAAAACTTACCACAAGGCCAACTCGGAGTGAATATTCAGCAGCATTCCTGTGGTTGTCATTGAAGTTCCCCTTGAGGTTCTTCCACAGAATCTCCATTGGGACGTAAAACTGAAGCGAATAGGTGAGGAAAATGGCGATGGCGATCATGAGCTTGACAGATTGAGCAAGCCTGGAAAGAGATACACATTTAGATTATTTGACATAGTGGGCGGGGCATTTGAGAGGGCGTGGCTTGTGACTTACATTTCATCGATGGGCAGATTGAGGGTGATGCTACCCTTGGTGTCCTCGCCGTACTTGAGGTATCCCAGGAAGCCGACAGTGGCGTACAGTCCAACAACGAAAGCCATGCCAGTGTTGAGGACTCCAGGGCAGCCAATGAAGTGGTTGGGGTTCTTCATGTTGTTCTCCAGGGACATGACTACGCCGATTCCCTCCAGGGCGAAGATGACAGTGCCGAAGAACATGGGCATGTGCTTGACATCGGAGATGGCGTGGCGCTCAGAGACAGATGGCAAGTCTGAGAGGATGTAGTACATCGTGATGCCCATTCCGGCGGCGATGAGCACATTGGCGACCATGGAGAAGGGCGTGAGGTACTTGAGATTGCGGATGAGATTGATCAGGATCAGTGGCAGCAGGAGGAAGGCCATGTATACGCGCACGTCGAGATCCACTGAGTAGTAGTGATCGACGACTTGCTTGATGTTGGTCGCCACGAACACCACATACACGCAGCAGCAGCCGATGAGGTCCACGACGAGGAAGAGATTGATGATAAACCTGGCGAAGCGGGACCACTTGTGCAGACCATCGGGGCCGGCGAGGAAGGCGGTCTCGGCGATGTCAGCGAATCCCAGGGACGGAATTTGAGTCCTGCGGCAGAGCTTGTGCGAGCATTTGACCAGGATGTGCACGCAGTAGGTGCAGATGATGCCGATGAGCAGCGTGGCCACCAGGCCGAACCACAGGCCGGCGTTGAGGAAGGCCAGCGGCATGGCCAGGATGCCCGAGCCGAGGGAGCCCTTGAGCAGGTGCACCAGCGTCTCGGTGTCTGTGGTGGGATGAGTCACCTTCCGGTGCTCGAACGGATTGTACTCGCCCGCTTCCTCATCCTTCCTCAGCTGGACGAGGGGCAGCGTCGATCCGGCCGCCGTGGCTGCTGGCACGTCGTTCATCTCAGCCTTGCTCTTCGTGTATAACGTGTCTCTCAATTCAGTCCGCGCCGATTGCCGCTTCTGATCATACTTTGTGATAATGGGAAATTCCTGCGGAAAAAATAATTGCCCTATTAGAAATGTCGCGCCGCTAAGAATAGCGAGATTGAGTGGGTAGAATTTATTGTGTGGTGGGAGACAATTTAAAGCATTTAATTCATCCAAAGTATTTCCTAATTAAATCCTCCTTAATTTATGCAAATTTGAGATTCTTCTCACTCAGAAATCTCTAAACCATGAACTGAGAATCAATCAAGAAGACTTCCTGAAATTACGCCCATGTTTTCTTGAAATTTTCAATCTCTCTCTTTTCACTTATGCTCCCAAGTGTGTCTCAGCTAAAAGTCTCCACTAACCAGGCGTCTCCATTGACGCATGTTTTGCTTTATTTTGAGCCTCTCGCGAGGCAGGCGCCAAATGTTGCTGATATTTTTAGTGCTAAACTGTGGGAAATATAATGTGAAAAACATTGCCACCCCCCTTATTGCCCAATAGGTGCCATAGCATCAATTATAATCAGTGTGATTTCGTGTGTGTCTTTCGTCTGTTGAGGCCAGAAAAATCCCGCACATCGCGATTATGCGTCGCGGCGAAAGAATGGCTATTTTTATAACAATTTTCGAGATATTCAACGCACTTGGCGTCTCACGAAATCTCTCTCCCCTTCTTCGTGGGCCAATTTTCATCATCTTCTATTTGTTGATTAAATATCACCATTGGTATGAATGGGATCTCTTTTTCACTGGCGCAACCATGTGAAAAAAAACTTCAGTGGGTGCGGATTTTAAATATTGGGAGAGAGAATTTTTAATAGCACTGAAACATTTTTCGAGTGGATGACATTTTTTTTCATGTCCAAGTTGAATTAAAATGACAATAATTGCGTTGAATACGCTTTTTTGGCGCTTGAGTGAATTTTTTCGCTGTGTCGAGAGGGATTTTTGGCATTGATTTTTGGTGCAATGAACGCCTTCTGGCCTCAAAACTGGTTAATTGGGAAGGTGATTTAGTGTGTGCAATACGCTTTATTAATTCACTCATAACTATTGTCGAGAAATAGCATCTAAACACACACTTTGGCGCGCTTTTCCTCGAAAATTCAATACCGAAGGAATTTCTCATTGTTGTCCCTCAAATTGTGGTTGGAATAAATGTTCGAAAAGAGACACAAATTCGATGTGGGTGGAGAAATGGATCAATGTGTATGTTGTGTGGACATTTTTATTATAATGCCAGGGCGAAAATGTTTGGGTGTTTTTTCGGGAAAGAGATAAACTTGACAAGATTGAAGGACACGTGCTGCATTTTGCGACCTTTCAAATGGAGGCGCCTGGTGGTTACAGTTTTTCTCTCTTCCCAAACCACTAAAAATAACATCCAATTTCAAGGTTCCGTGTCGACCGTCTTCCGATACCAGACATCCCACAATTGGCGAGAATCAAAGCGCTTCGGGGGTTGACAATTGCTGAGAAGCAGTTTGCGAAAGTTAATTGATGATTGAGGTTGATTTCTCAAATCAATCACGTCGAGAAATGACACATTTGACAATCTTAGCGATTTGTTGTGAATTTAGATGCTCTGTTTTTATTGGACAAGTTGCTCACCCCGTGCAGTGAATCAGTCCAATTATTTCCTTAATCAATACTCTATCATGTTTTCCTTTCATTTCTACCCAACACGCGAGGAAGAGGGTTTTTCCGTTGAAAATTTCACCCATTCTGACTTCTCCTTCCAGCACAATTCAAAATGAAAATACACGCGACCTTGAAGGAAAGTTCAAATCGAAAACTGACACAGATTTTTTCCTCGTCTGTTTAATAAAGATCACAAACCTTGAAGGATTTTTCTTCGAATTATGTGTTGTTAAACAACACAACGCCGATTTGTTTATTCGCCATCGCGATGGAGAGACTCACAGTCGTGTTCTTGTCATAAATAAAGAACCCAAGAATATATCGTCTCTGAATTGGTCCAATACACCACAAAATGAGCCTTCGACCGAGAAATTACCCTCAAAAATTTTATCTACATTTGTAATCTCGTCTCGAGATTTGCATGCAGAAAATGTGACAAATTACTTCGCCCTCGAATTGCATGAGCCAAAGACGAATTCTACGATGATTTAATTGCCAAAAAAGAACTCTTGCTGAGCGAAAGAGAGACTTGATATCATTACAATTCTGACTCAAGCTAACCGCCTTCGCGAAATTATCATCCCCGCGCATTTTCTCCCACATTTCTGGCCGCGCGCGCGATGGCATGAGGAAAAAAGAGTCACTCGAATTGCCATCAGTTCTTTTGCCAAGAATCCGCACAGATTTTTTCGATTCTCTGGTCTTCTAAACCACACGAAAATTCTCATCTCTCATGTGCCAAATTGGGCTCGCCAAAGCATACAATGTGTCGATGTAAGTTAAACAGTGTGGTTTATGTTTAGGGGAGAGAAGCATGAGCCTGTTTGCTTGTGTTGAGCTCAACCTTCAGTGTCTTCTTTCTGCGATTCTCAAATTCAATTGCACTCTTTCAAGAAAGGCATCGGCTTTTGCGACTCAACTCTCAATGTTTGCGTAGAAATGCTCACTTCGCTTATTCAACTGCAGAGCTGATAAGCGTCAATTCATACATAACTATATGTATTATACATATGTGGAAAAGCAGCCGAATAATTTATCCTACATTTTTAAAATGTGTGCCGAAAGTAAAAATAAAATTTGATTCAATTAAGAAAAAAAAATCAATGGAATAAAGTTACCAAACATCTTTTTAGACTTAAATATGCCAAAATTCAATTTTTTTGCAAAAAGACTTTTAATTTATAAAAAAAATACCCTCAGGCATTGGTTTTGCGTTAGAAATTGGGCAACTTTTAGAGATCGCACGTGTGAGGTCAATGCTATTGAAGATTTTGGCATTTTAGCAACGCTGCGTTTTTGGCTCTTCGTTTGCCCTCTTCGGTGTTTACTAACATCGAAAGGTAGATGAGTTGCCTAGATGCTAGCTTTCCTTAAGTCTCGTCATCAATGACTCAGTGTATCGGCCGAGAAAGAAAGTCAAGGACTCGATATTGGCGATCCAGATAGATTAGCATTCTCGCGGACAGATAACTTTCAAGGCTTGAGATGCGATGGCTCAGCACATATCGCGAGGCAACTGATAAGACAGGCGAAACCTGCCTTCCTGGCATTTTCTGTCGCGCTCATGGCAAACTTTTTCTCCTTAGGATCACTGATCAAGCGATCGTGTTGCAAATATTGACACAGCAGCGTGTTAAACACTTGAGCAACTTTATGCAATGGACCAAAGTCCGAACTGGGCATCGGAAGAGCTGCTGTGTGGGGGTCAGGTGGACTTCCTCAATCTCTTAGGGCTTCAGTGAAGGCTTCAGTGCCACGTTGACGAGGAAGTGACGACGCGAAAGGGAGCTGCAAGTGCGGGAATTCCTTGGCGAAGGTCTTCTGCGATTGGCAGTAGTGCCAAAGTGCGAAACCGTGCCACTGTCCTTTTCATTTTTCCCACCATACATCTCATCAAATCACATATTAATCGTGAAAGTCACACACAATAGTGCCAAATGGTGCCTCAACTCGCGAGTCTCGCGAAGGTGTCATTATCTGCCTCACACACAACCAGATCCAACCAGTTCTGCGACTCTATCCAATCCATAAAAAGCTCTAAAGCCACGTCAAGTATAATCAATTGGCTTTTGAACACACCGGAGAGATTTCCGGGCTCCACCATTCACCTGCTCGATTCCATTGAGCCGCGCGGTCTCTTGTCTCTCTTTCGCACATCGCGAGACGCTCGAAATCGGCGCCAAAAACTGTGAGATAACCATACAATCCGCCGTGATGATGGCTTCCTCGAGGAATTTGCTTTTTGGTCGTATATTTTTGTTGCTATTTGAGGTCATGACACTCGTTTGCAATTGTTTACTATTTCACAGGGTCATCCAACACTGCGAAATCTCCCAAATGTGGGATGAGGGCGCGCAATTTCGCTGTGAGAATCTCAGCGCGACGTAATCTCTTCTAGAATAGACACTCACACTTCATGAGGAAATTTTGCAGAGTTGAGAGAGAGAGCTGTTTTTAGGCACTGCGATATTTATAGTGCGAAAAATTAGGTAACTTCACACAAAAAAAAGAAGCGGAGGATGATTGTTTACATTTCCGAATACTTTATCTGAATAAATATAAGCAAAAAAGTTTCAATTCAGCTGATGAGATTGGAAATCTTTCCAGCACCTCTACATTTTCTTCAACTCTGCGCACAAAGGCTGATTGATTTCTGCTGATATGTGAGTTGACGGGTACAAATTTTCCGCTATACTTGATTTCCGTCGAGATTGCTATCTTATCAGAAGGGAATGCAATTAAGCAAATCTCGGTGTATTACGGCATGAGACAAACTTGTCAAGTATGATGAAATGTGTCATCGCGAGGCGTCAGCATGTGTGAATTTGACAAAATGCGAATGAATGTGAGTTCAATTGGGCTGAACTTTCGACTCGGCGACATCACTGGAGTCACTCGGTGAGACTGCGGCGTGCGAAAAGTGCTTATGGCGTGGCCACATTGACAATGGGTGCTGGAGAGCACGTGTAACACATATGCAGGTAAAATGCAAATGACTGGAATAAATTTTTATCACAAACTGATGACTATTCAATTCACGCTCGATACCCAATCATTTTCTGCTGTATGGCCGGCCATCGTCATATGGCACATTTGGGCGCTTGTGTGTGTTCGTGAAGCGCGCACACAAGATCGAAATTTCATCAATTCCAGCGAACGATGATCGAGTTCACAAGAAATGGTGTTGGAGGAAAAAACCCATGTGAAAGAGAAGAATGGAGAGCAAGTCGTAGGAGAAAAAAGTGCCATCATTGTGGTAGAAAATGTGTTTCACAACACAAATTTTATGTATATGGCCACGAAAAAAAGCGTGAGCCAAAGTTTTTTCACTGCTCCTCGGCTTCAAGCGCACACATGGATAGAGGAGAGAGAGACTCTCTTTGCCTCTCTCTCCCCTACATCGATCGTCACAGTTGGAGACGATCTTGAAACTCTCAAGAGCAGGGTGATTCAGTGAACTGAGAAAACTATGGCTGAGATGCTGCGGATGTACAGTTTGGAAGGAAGCTGAGCAGCTTGAGGTGAGCACGCTGCACAAACGGCACACGATCACGAGACTTGGCGCGATCATCGGCCAGAGATCTCGTGCGTGGGTATTGTATTATCAATTTCTCTTTTATTGCCTCCATTGAGTGCGTCACGGTGACGATAATTGAGTGACTAAGACTATTTTTGGATTGTCTCTCTCTCGGTCCATATTGATCGCGCGCGTACGGATCGCGATCTGCCATTCATAAATTTGGCTAAATTACTTGTATGTTACTCATACTCCTTACGCCCAATTCAAGCCACTTGTCGTACAGTGTCAAATCTTCTCAAATAAATCAATCTTCTCCGTTCAGTCGAACACTGACTCTCATCCGAAAAATTGACCATTTGACTCGCAATCTCATGGCGATCGATAGGCGCTTTTTTCCATCTCGCGATCATGATCGCGAGGGCAAAAAGAATGACACAGTCTATAAATAGACGAACGTGTATTCTGGAACATTCTCGACGCACGACTATCTCAGTAATTCCAATGCAAATATTGGGAGGTCTTGCTGCTATGACTCCGACACACATTATCACCCATCATCCGCGGCGTCAGGCGAAAGAGATCAGCATTCCACGTTCAATTGTCCCACACGACGTGACGCCACGAGGGTGTGAATCACACCCGATAATTGGGCAAGTGAGCCTACAATATTGCGAAATTATCTTATCACCTTGGCGTGAAGCTGCGATTGTGAATGAAACTCGGGGGGTTTTGTTAGCTGTGATCTGTCTAAGTGGTCCCAAAGTGATGCTCACTTGACATGACTTGGCGCAATGTGATATGTTTACATTCGATTTCACAGACTCAGGTGGTGTGTGGCACGGAAAATTCCTCTAGCATTCAAATACTGGGCGCCTAATGGAGGAGAAAGTTGAACAAGACAGCGTCTGTTCTTGAATGTCTCTTCAATCCTTGTCCAGATTGTACTTTTCAGAACTCGTTTCACCTTCAAACTTAACTCCAAGACTTTTATCTTTGGTTTCAGCCATAGGAAAATGCTGTTTGGTTGAGTGCAAGTCAAATAGTTAAAGCGATAATTAGGATTTATAGAAAAGTCAAATAATGACGAATTTGAAAAATATGACTAAGATTTTATGAGTAATTTTGCAAAGTGTAGATTTCTTGAATAACAAAAATTTTTAAATATTGTTTTGCGCAGTAAAACCAAGAAATTCCCATTTTCTAAGACCATCAGACTTAGGCAAAGCTGCTAAAACCCGTTCGTAAAGCCATGCGACCTTGCTCGACATCATCCGTGTTTGCTAATTCCGATTATGCCTCCAGAGGTAACTGACCTCGCCGACCCAGCAGCCCGAGGGGCCCCAATATGTCAATAGGGCTGCAGAGTGGCCAGTGACAGCTGCCTCCAATGCGGAACAATACTGGGACAGAATAATTGGCGAGATCGAGAGAGAGTGGCGGATATTAATAGATCTTAGGAGAGGCCGGAAAGAGGGGGACTCCAAAAGCGCATCCGATGTGCAGCACGTCGCGCGATCTAGTCTGCAAGAACGCTGGCGCGTCTGGTGTCACCCTGTGGGCTTATGCTCTGGCTATGCTTGCTCTCGAGCCAACACGTCGGGTATCGAGTGTAAGGAAGGTAGTGTCTTCGGCTCTCTCTGGGTTGATGTTCTCAGAATGCGTTTTCGCTTATTTTGCGAACGGAATTTTCCACTCACTCACACAGCGACGGGCGAGAGCGAGAGAGTGCTATAAATATATATGCTTCTATATATAAGAAGACCAAACTATATCGTCGCCTTTGGCTCACTAGCGCCATCAACATGCGAGTGCAGTGACTACGCACCAATATAATCTCTTGGGGGATAGGAAATAGCTGGCTGGAGGGATCAGATGAGTGTGGAAAAATGCTGCCCGAGTCGTCTCGGCTCCAGGAAATTCACCCTGAATCCAGGGTGCATCTGCAGATCAGCACGATCGGCGTGGAAAGCCGCCTCGCGGCACTGCAAATCTCTCTCCTTGTCTAAATTTAATCACACTTTTCTAACGAATCTGCTCACGAGTCGGCACCTTTATCAGTCGTCAGTCGTCATTTTCCCCAATCGCTGAACATACAACTATTTCCCTATATTTATCGCCTGCACAGGCGCTGGGTGATAAGGCGATTTATGTAACCTCACGAGTGTTCGCGCTGAAGTGCGCGTTATCAGGCCCAATTTGCCTTTTATTGAGATGATACAGAAAAAAGTGTCAGCACGTGACGAAACATTGAAAACATTCACAACTCATTTCGCAGAGAAGAAAATTTTCCACGAAGAAAAAACCTTCATCGAGGCGCCAGCAAAGCATATATATCTTATGATTCTGTAGCGCAAAAATTCCCTCAAGTGTGATTACAGTACAATCACACTTCCAGATATCGCGCAAGCACGATTGATTCATGCACACGATTAATTGGAATTTTTCCATGAGCGGCATTTTGGGAGGGAACCGTTTTTATCATTTTCCGCTTTTTATCACAAACCCAACACCAAGAGCCGCGAAAAAGTGTGATTTCGAGTGGGATTTTCGAGGGGAAGTGGAGCATAATCAACTTACAGAGTATTCCGTTGGCGCCAGTGGCGTTTTGGAAGAACTTTTGTGAATCCGATCCATTGTGGTCAGTTTTCTGGAGAAATTCTTGCCAAGAAGTGGTGGTTTTTCCAATCAAATGTCTTGAGCACGTAAAAAATATTCACTCACGAGCGTTTCTCTACGCTGAATTATGTCTTTTTGTACTGAGCCAAATAAAAGAGAGACCTTCAGAGTGGTCGAAAGGAAAGTCCTTTTTTTGAATCACTTAAACTTCAATTTTTGCCACATTAATAAGGCCAAATTTGGCTCGTATGTCAGTAGAATTCGCGGAAATTTCACTCAGTCACAGGAGAGAAAGAAGAATTGCACAGCAAAGTCCACCTCAATAGTGTAAAATGAAATAACTTCTCTCTAGCCAAGTCAAGGGGGAAGAGAAAAAGAGATTTCAAAATGGTCAAAAGTGTTGAAAAAGTTGATGATTTTTCAGTTAATTGTCCGGTTTTGATGTGGCGCTTTGCAAATTAATTCAGTTCAATGGCGGTTTAGCGACAGATTTGCTTCGAGGAATTTCACTGATACTCGTACGACCGTTTTTCAAGCTGTTCTAAATAGGAATGAGAGTCTCTTAATCAGCGAATATCAAAATAGAATGCCGATTTCCACGGCATGTGCCTTTACTTCTTCACTTGTGCCTCATACTTGTGTAGCGACCAATATATATACTATCGGCCACACACACACGCCCAGCACATGGTCACTGCATTCACGATACACGTCACGACGACACGTCGCTGTGCAGCCGCCGACGTGTGTGTGTCCGTGTGACTGTGTTGACTTTTCGAGATGGTGCTCGATCTCGTTTCACATACCGAAACTGCCACCCGACAAACTGCTAATTGCGTGGCTGCGACGTGAAATTCCACCCTCTCGCCGAGCTATTCGGTTGCATTGGGTGCCGTGGAGAGGGTTTGCGCGCGAGGTGGAGCCCAGGCGCGCCACCTTGCGGAGAAGATTGCAGACAGAACGGCAAAACGGTCTGACGCATCGCTCACGATCAATGCCGAACGCTTCTTTCGGCTGAACGACCGAGTAAATTGTGCAGATTCTTCAAAACATGGCGACATTTACTATGCGTTCTCAAATTGACAGGCAGAACTTGACTTTGATCACGAAAAAAAGTCAATATACAACATATTACTCCATTATAACCTCATTTCGATCAATTCCAACCTAAGTGTGCAAGTAAAATGCAAACTTCAGTTACTCAAGTTCATAATTTAATATTTATGTGATAAAGTATGTTCTTCTTTTCGCTGTATTTGTATACAATTTTCAACACTTTACGTGTATAACATATCTGGAATTTTTTTTCCTTACACTTCAGCCACAATTCCAAGCAGATTGCGAAACAGTTTGCCTTCCCACTAGCATTTCTCATATTCTTGCCATTTCTTTACAGTGGTTACGCTTCACTATTTACATTTCGTCTGTTTTAACATAATATTTCCAACTTATTGCTTGGCAAATGTGGTGTGTTTAAAAATAAAGCTAGAAATTGCGCCATGAATTAAGATCTGTGTCTAATTGTTAAGTCAATCAATATCTCCTTCCCTCAAGGTGTGCCCAAACTTATCAGATATTTGTCCTGATAACATCGCACAGCGTGATCGTGATGAGACCATGATATTGCGATATCCATCCCTGACTTCTTATATCTCGTTCATCCTTGAGATCACAGCTTTTTTTATGGCTCCGCATCCGTGATTCTCGTGTGCGCGCATGTGATTTTCAACCCATTCTTTCTTCTCATAAATTACATTCAATTTCTGTGACGCCTTTCAAGTGGAATTTTACTAATCTACCATGACACCAGCTGAATTGGCAAAGTGGCGAAAATAATTACATGGATAAACAACTTTAAAAGAAACAATATTTACATTATGTTCCAAAAATGCAAAGTTTCCAAGCTCCTTTCATACGCTTTTTGCTCACTTGACGTGAGCATGAGTAATGGCAAATGTGCCTAAAGTGGTGAAAATTAAGCTCATTTTATAACATACATTAATTGGCTATTCAGATGAGGTGAGTCAGAGTGTGAAACTGGACGAAAATTGAGAAGCGCTGACGAATTCTTAATTCACACTGAAGGCAATAATTTGCCGAAGAGGTTTCTTTCTCGGGGTTATGTAAGAAGTGACCATAGAAGCGGGTTTAATTCTGTAAAAGGTCAATTTCATTTAAATCCGTCCAAGTTATACTTTTTTTCCTGCCCTTCTTATCAGGCTCGTGGCTTTATTGGAAAGTCATTCGAAGCCACTGAAAGCAAACCTTCGTCGTCATGGAAAATTGCACTCTTCAGCGTTCTTGTTGATACTGTGACGTCAACAGGTGAGACAATATATTTCCCCGGAACAGAGGAAATCGCAGAGGGTTAAAAGCGCTTGATAACAGCGAGGCTTCAGGAGAAGACTGAATTGCACAGATAACGTCTATTGGTGAGATAATTTTTCAATTAAATCGAAACCCATTTATTGATCGATGATTTACATTCTCAGCTAATATACATAACACCCACCCGGCGTCCCCATCGAGAGCTTCCACACAAGCTTTCATTTGTATTGAAGCTTACGTCACAGTTCATTGATTTACCTGTAATTCATCTATTGCAACCAGATATGTGCGGTTCGCGAGTATTTTCCTTCTTCATCGGAACTTCCAGTTAATCCGCCTTAATTGATTCTTTCGCCGGAATTCTAAATAATGCATTTTACAGTCATTCTTTCAGGCAGTTTTTGTATGCAAATGATAGGAAAGGAACAAACCAAGCCAACAATGGAATATTTTCACCGCATTGCTTCTGTATTGTGGAACTACAAAAGCAGCAATTCTGCGTGTGGACTTGTGCTAAAAATATAGCATTTCCATTCAAATAAACTGTTTTCAAAATCAATGATAAATATTTATGTTTTTCTGCAGAATTGGCTGCATGATTGATTCAAGATATTAACTTGATGTTAACAAGGCTCGAATCACAAGGTGTCGTCCGTATTTAATCAGCAAATTAAGACGATACCACTGTTCCCGACCGTTGGGGGCGTGCTATTGATCAAATTAATGCTATATTTAGACCCTGCGAATTTTGATTGATCATCACAAGCATGGAATATTTTCAATTTCACACCTTTTCGGCACTTTTTGTCTGCTCCCTACGGAAAATCACACACACAACAGCTCTAGATAGCATCAAAGTGCGCATATTTTCGTGGTAACAGAAAATCAGGTAAAAAAAAGTTAATTAGGAAACTTTATCACAACGTCGCGTCTCATAAAGAAGTCGCATGAGTTTTATGCCCTTGCGAGTAAACACACAATCTGGAAATTCAACATTCACAAATCCTCAAAAGCTTTGTAAAGGTTTTTTCAAATTGTGACGAATTTCCTTATTTCACGAGCTAAACTACAAAACTATTTAGACAGAATTTTTCCGTTTTTGTTGACTCTCTGTTTTCACCGAAATGCGGTTAATTTGACATTGCAAAAAGCTTGTGGAAGTTGACGTTGAACTTTTTGGATTCTGTTATTCTATTTCCTGTAAACTAGTTTGGATAAGAGTTAGAGAAAAACATATGAGTATTTCGAATGAAAAAAAGACTGTAAATTAACCATCACGATGTTTTGCAATAAACTGCAGACTTAATAATTTCGCGTTGTGTGATAAATGTCGAAAAATACGACTTTTGAACACTTTATGAAACTGTCTTACCTAAAAATTATACAGTTGGTGCAGTAAGTTTCGTACAGAATAATCAATGTTTTTCACCTTTTTTCACGGGAACCAAATATTCAATACTTTTGAGTAAAACTCTATTCGAGAAACTGAAGAATACTCTAGCTTGAAGTCAAGCTTTATGAAAAATTCCCAGGGAAGTCCTATAAAAATACTTTAATGTCTGGAAATTTTACTTCGTAATGTAATCAAGAATATTTTCTGCCTTCAATGGCTTTTCAATTGATCGAGTTGGGCAGTGAAATCCGGAATCGATGGGAATAAATTAGCATCGACAAAGTGCTGAGCGAGTGGATTTTCCACAATTGCCCCGCCGAAAGTGATTTTGCAGTCATCCCAGCGATATGCAATTTTCTAATAGAATTGTTTACGGAAAGAGACACACGCGTCTTGTGGAAATTGGAAAAGTATACAGAAGGTGCACGGAAGAGTCGTGGACATTCGCACACAAGTGTGCAATTTGCTGCACAAATTCTGCCATGGTGACTAAATGGAGAGATTCTTCGTCGGGGAAAAGTCAATAGAATGCTAATTCAATTACCAGTCAATCTTTGAACTGTCGATGGTTTATCGTGCAGAATGTTGTGTTCTGTGACGTTTTCATTGAATTCGCGGAAAATATAGAGTGGAAGTGGACAAAGTTTGTGTGTTTCTGAGGCAAATTCACACATTAGGCATGTGATTCGGTGGTTTGACCACGAGTCCAAACAATTCCAAAGATAGACTGTGTGTGAAAATGATGCTCTGATTCGCTATGAAGAGGCTTGGCTTCATCAAATGGACCACGCATGAGGCCAATTTGCTGGGTGACAAATATGATTTAGAGTCCATTTAACTCCTAAACGACATCCTCATCCGCTGTCTGATGGTGAAAATGACCCTCAAAGTGATTTCAAGTCACACACGTCACAGCGATTGAAAAGAGTTTACGAGGATGCGCAATTTTGAGCGCCTCTCCAGTCATTCCATCAATTAATTGTGGCATTTTGGGGCGTCTGTCTCAATTGTGATCTGTGTGGCCTCATGAGTCCATCGAGTGCGTCGTTCTTGTGCCCCAGGATGATCAAAGTGCGAACGAATTGATGATATGTAGCAGCGAAATAAGGCGCGAGCTTTCGCGTGACTTTGGGCTCGTGTCACACTTCTCTCTGGGGGCGCGGGAGGTGTGTATAAATGACCGTGTGACGTATGAGGACTCTTGATCAAAACAATTTTATTTTTGGCACTTTTTCCATCCTTAGATTAATAATATCTGCGACATTCCAATGGTCATGGTAAAATATATCTCCGACTGTTTTTCTCTCTCCTCATTTCCCGCCATAGGGTGATCAAATAAAACTTCTCCACGTGTTACAAATATTACTTCGCTGTGATTAAAAATTCATCACAAGCAAAAGTGTAAACGACCGATGAAATGAAGTTCTCAGTTATTTTTCTCATTTCTGCAGAATAATTCATTTTCATTGTGTCATTAAGTCGATTTTAATTTAATGTAATAAACCAAATTATTCGCGAAATCCCAGAATAATTTTGTACTTCATTATAATCAATCTATATGCTACATTTCTATGCTTATATCATCAGCTATAGAGGGTGGAAGCACAAAAGTTGGTGATTCTATGAAAAGGAAGTCTGGTGAATTATGCAATTGCCACAATACCACTTTCTGTGCGGTTGAATTCCTGGGTTAAATCAACTCTAAAGTGGAAAGTGACGCAATCACAGTGTTTATCAAATTGGCATTGTTGGGCTAAATAAAAGAATTTGCAAGCTCAAAAAGGTATGGCAATTGCAAATTACCTAAATCTCAGTCAGGCAGTAAATGATGAATTGCTGCAGATAAAATTCTTAGAGCTTCAAGACACAACATCGACATCACTGAACTTCCGTATAACAGT